GGCAACATTTAAAGAAGAATTGTTGAAATATCCGGACACGAAAACAAAGTGCCTCAAAAATTGAAGAAAAACATTTCTTAAAAGGTCAAACGAAACAGGTGCTAGGCTACATATAAATAGACTGTTGAAATACTAAATGTTTTCTCAAACAACAAAGGGTATTATGGAAGGTCTTAATGCACATCAAACATGTATCTCAAATGCAAATGATCTTTACTATGCTATAATTATCATAATAAGGCATACATAATATGGTTAATTTCTCCAGATAACGCTATGACTTTCAGAGAAAAAATACATAAAATATAGGCATTGAGGAAGCTTTAAGGTGATCAGTGGCTAAACGTTTCAGTTTTGCTCCCTTTTTATTTACTATTGAATCAAAGATTGTAAATGAACTATCAATCAGAGCATCCTAACTCAGACGTTGAGTTTATGAAAATACTTGAAATGTATCATTCGATACCGAGCAGACGCAATGTGGAGCTGTTCACTGCCTGTGGTTCTGAAGTGCAAATCGTTAAGCTGCAGTTTACAATCTGTTGCACACGGGGGCAGTAAACGTTTACACACAGGATGCATTTGTATTGTCCTTCTACTTGACTAGAAGTTATTGTACACCATAGTGATCTAATGGAAGGAAACTTTTATTTTTACCCAATTGTATTCTCATTTATTAAATCAGTTAACTTTATGATGTTAACTCAGAAATCATAGTCCCTTTCATATCAGTGTGCAGCTTAAAAGTTGCTAGTCTACAGTATAAACTGGACATTTAGCATTTAACAGAGGGCAATGAAAAGCAAGTTACACTTTCATCTGTTTCTTACACCTTTATTATGTTTTGTATATGTCAAATTCCTTTAACATTAAAAGTAGTAAATATGGGTTATTTTCTTGTTCAAGCTGAATTATCAACAAGAAAGAAAGTGAAAAACATAAAGACAGTTATTAACCATTGAGAATGTTTATTTTCATGGTCATAGCTGTGGCAGGAAATTGAGTTAAGCGACAATCCTCTCTCCAATGGGGATGGGGCCCAGGGTGACATCACCTTCCCATTCGAAAACTAGAAAGAAAGACAGAAGACACGTGTCACGTTTTTCACTGCTGGGGTTGTCTTACAACTCAGGCACACATTCACTAGGAATGCATACAATATACCATACCGTTATTTTCCCTTTGGGACACATCACGGATCTTCCTTCCAGGAGTCTGACCGGGGTTGAGGTTCCAAGCTCCTTTAAATCCACCAGATTCACAGGAGCCACAAGCTGCATCCTGTCCGCTGGCCTCTTTCCAACTTGGAGGAAAGAAGAAGAAGAGAAGAAAAGTTAATAATGTATCAATACTCCAATGACACATTTTCAAAGAAGCCCAGACTCACCCATTGATGTAGGAACAAGCTCTATGTTCAGCATCGATGGGACATGAAGTGGATGTAGCTTTCAGGTGGCATGTAATGTAGAGCTGTTAGAAAAAGAGAGGGGTTAAGTTATTATTATATGTATTTTTCCTGCATATGATGTATAGCAGAATCTTTTAATCAGTCTTGGAGATGCCCACCATTCCACTGTCAACGCCCTGGAACCTGAAGGCCTCCAACTGGAACTGAAGCTTGTTCTCTGCAGTGCGAGCCATGAACTTAGAGCTAGAGCCTGTGATCCTTGCATCAACCAAACACCTGCATGCAGAAAAACCACATTAGAGGACAAACTTCTGTTTGTGATAATACATTTTCACTGTACACATCAATTTAAATTAACCAGCTCACCCATTGTTTTCAATGAAGACATAGTTAGGTATTGAGTTCATGTCAGGTGCAATGGTGGCTACGCATCTCTCCACATAGACACGGAGGGGCACGTGGAAGAACTGCTTGACAACAGCCTCTACATTTATGATGTCTCCCAGGTAATACTGGTAGCTTGGTCTCTCGTTTTGCCCGAAATCTGATCAAACATAAAATTAAAATGTAAGAGTGTTGCAAAATATACATTTCTAATCAAAGCTCTGTAAAAGGTTAATTCTGCAGATAAACTGTTTTTTTAACTCACCAGTCATGAGTCTCAAGGTGAAGTAAAGGAATTCCTCTGACACCTTAACTGCAGAGAATGGGATCCACAAGGGGTCAAGAGGAAGGCTGCTCACATTGTGCTTCCTAAATGATGAAATAGGTTTGCTTAAAATGCAGCTTAAAGTCATTTCTAATATGCATCCGCCACAGGTATCAGATTTGGTGATCCATGGTTACTGGAGTTACTAAATGTGTTAGTATTTCAATGTCATATTATGTTATTTATTATATGTTTGTATGTTCATTGCCACACCTCTAATGGTCTTATTACCTTGGGTAGTGGCATTCCACAATTACTGCAGCTTTGCTGGTCCTCACCACAAGAGTATCGGCCAGAGGTTTGGGATCATAGTTCAGAGTGAAGCTGTAGATAAGGTAATCTTGTGTCACCTAGTGGAAAAATGTATATTAGTACAAACAAATGGCATCATACATGAACATATTGGTTTACCATATTTTTAGATAATAATCATTGCAATCTTTCATTTATTTTTCAGTGACTACCATTTGTATTTAGCTTACGGTTAATGTGCTAAGACAACTTTGCAGTTCTGTCTCAAAAATCAACACTTGAGCAGCATTGTCCTCTGCAACAGGGGCACAGTTTCCCAGGGTAATGTCGGCAGGGTTGATAAATTGGCCAATCCCAAACAAGTCCTTCTTGGCTTCCACGTGAGCAATACTCTCTCTGCACTCGACAGCAACAGTTGCAGCAGCAACAGGAAATCTCAACTCGAACGGCACCACGACTTCAGGGTCAGGCGTGGGGTCAGCAGGGTATCCCCAGGTGAGAGGTCTTTCAAATGTCTGCTTACTCTGTTGGGGCGTCTGAGGATGTTGTTTGACAGGCTCCTGTCTCGGTGCTGGCTTCTCGTATGGTGCTCTCGGCATGTAACCACCCACAGCCAATTGAGCATGACATAAGCTGCCTAACAAGGCCAGTGCCACAAGGCACACAACAGTGGACTTTATCACCATCGCTTCACAACAGCAAGTGATCTACACAGTTCACTAGGTGATGTGAAGAAGATGGACATGTGCACCTACTTTTATAATAAGTTATCATGTTTGCTTCCACAACATTCCCGCCCATTCTGTTGGCCATTCCCCATCAGACCTGATGATCTTAGATGCTAAGCCAATGAAATGATTGCTGCTTTTGACGAAAGCAATGCCTACAGCTCTGGTGATGCATCTTCAACTAGATTTTGATTATTTATTATTTTAATGCATAACATTTTATACTATGCTGAAAAAATACAAGCAGCATAAATAAATAGTATTATGAACACAAAACTGTGGATGTGCTGACACAAATGTGATGGTAATGCAGCCAAATGAAACAAATATTAACATATGGAGGGTATAATTTGAAAATGAAAGGTCTTGGTCACAAAAAGTTATGTTGACCTTGGGTTAGGTCAACCTTCCCTCAACATGGAATTTCAAACTCAATATTTTTGCCAAAGTACATTTTGTGGAGAGCTGCAAGTCAATATGGTCCGACTCCAGGTTGATGACCTTTACTGTGTTTACATAGAGATCAAATAGATTGGTGATCTTGAGAAGTAAAAAGAGTTTATAAATGAAATATTCCTGCGAGAGAAAAATTAGATTAACCCCCAAATTGAAAATTAATACAGAGGTCAAGTGATGACATGTTTTTCCTTGTTTTAACCTGCAGATACGTGATTTACAATAAGCTCCAATTATTAATCTGCTTTGCTTTCCATTTTTTCGTCCTCTTTTTTGACCAAATGATTTCAAATATAACAAATCCATATTTTATAAATGGCAAAGCTATTAAACAAATTATTAAAATCAAAATTAACAACAAAATTGTATGCAACCTCTAAATCTTCGTTACCGCAACAGTGAGAAAAAAAGCTTATCCAAGAAAAATGAATTGCTATGTCAACCAAGTACAGACTGATCTGAATCTGCATACAATTTTCTATGTTTGACGGGAAATACAAAGTATGCCAATCTCACAATATTTCCCCAGCAAGGTTCTAAGAAAATGTGTTAGTATTTCAATGAAATAAGATGTTCAGACATGAATGTTATAAATATATAAATTGCTAGTATATATTACATGAATCCAGCCATCTAGAGAATGTTGAAATGCTTGACGTATATGCACACGCCACTTACTTAACTCATTTCTTTACATTTGACATATCTGCATGCTATAATAGTTGCTTATGGATGCTCGTCAATTCAGTTAAATGTTTGTATCAATGGCAAATAAGATAGGAAGAAGTATTTGTTTAGTCGAGTCCTGCTGCCCTAATACATGATGACCTGCACATTGCAGGTCATACAAACTCTGTGAAAGGTTTTGTTTTGATATTGTACAAACAATCTGGAAATTCTGACATTCACGCTCAATGACAATCAGGGGGTTCTTAAGCATGGGTTTGATAAGATAAGAAGAAGTATTTGTTTAGTCGAGTCCTGCTGCCCTAATACATGATGACCTGCACATTGCAGGTCATACAAACTCTGAAAGGTTTTGTTTTGAAATTGTACAAACAATCTGGAAATTCTGACATTCACGCTCAATGACAATCAGGGGATTCTTAAGCATGGGTTGGATACTAATGAATACATATTCATGTTAATGCAACAGTGAGTTTACTACCATGTATGCTGTTATTATCTTCCGATGCAATATCTCTAGAATTCATGTTATTTGTCCACTGATATTACTTGTTTGGCAATCCATGAAATCTCTTGAGTGCATCACCACACACCACAGTCACTGAAGCTTGTGATTGGAAGTTATGGGCAGCAAATAGGATGTTAGTCCTCATCGTCAACATTACCAATAGGCCAACCTTATAAAAGTCAGCATAGCACCATTTTTTATTCCACAGTAGTTGGTGTTCCTTTCGAATCAGTTCACTGTGAAGCCAATGCAATGAAGTTGATTTTTACTTTTTTGGCAGTTGCCCTGCTTGGCTGTCTGGCTGATGCTCAAAATGTAAAGGGGCACCCGCATTGGCCAACGTGGCCTCAGGATCCTCAGGAGCCCCCACCGTGGCCTCAGATTCCTCAGGGGCCTCCGGAGCCCCCACCGTGGCCACAGTGGACTCAGATTCCTCAGGGGCCTCCGGTGCCCGCACCGTGGCCACAGTGGACTCAGATTCCTCAGGGGCCTCCGGTGCCCGCACGGTGGCCACTGTGGCCTCAGGATCCTAAGCATCAACACTTGCATTCAGATCAGCAGCCTAAACAGCCAACGAGGCCTCAGCTGCCCCAGCAGCCAACAACTCCCCCTAAATGGAACCCACCTCAGCAGCCAACAACTCCCCCTAAATGGAACCCACCTCAGCAGCCAACAACTCCCCCTAAATGGAACCCACCTCAGCACCCTAAACAGCATGATCAACATCCTAAACAGCCACAGTGGCTTCAGCAGCCAACAACTCCCCCTAAATGGAACCCACCTCAGCAGCCTCAGCAGCCTCAGCATCCTCAGCAGCCTCAGCATCCTAAACAGCATGATCAACATCCTAAACAGCCACAGTGGCTTCAGCAGCCAACAACTCCCCCTAAATGGAACCCACCTCAGCAGCCAACAACTCCCCCTTATTGGAACCCACCCCAGCAGCCTCAGCATCCTAAACAGCATGATCAACATCCTAAACAGCCACAGTGGCTTCAGCAGCCAACAACTCCCCCTAAATGGAACCCACCTCAGCAGCCTCAGCAGCCTCAGCAGCCTCAGCAATATGAACAGCAATATGATCAGCAGACTAAACAGCCACAGAGGCCTCAGCTGCCCCAGCAAACCTGTGAAGTTGCTGACAATCAAAAGATACATTGTGGAGCTCCTGGAATCTCTACTGAACATTGTGAAGCTATAAACTGCTGCTATGGTGGAAACATGTGCTATTATGGAAAATCTGGTTAGTGTTTTTCTTACTCCTCAAAGAAATACATGTATATCTCTAGTAATTTAAATGTGTTCAATGAGTATAGCATGATCCATAGTCTTTGCTTGTAATTGTGTTCTTTTCAGTGACCCTTCAGTGCACCAAGGATGGTCAATTCATCGTGGTGGTGGCCAAAGACGCCACCCTACCTAACCTCGATTTAGAGACAGTTTTCTTCCTTGGAGGTGGCGAAACCTGCAATCCTGTTGGCACTACTTCAGCCTTTGCCATCTACCAGTTCCCTGTCACTGCCTGTGGTACTGTCATGATGGTAAGGATTTTGACTAATTTAAATGTATAATGTCATTAGTATACATTTTTGTTGGGTAGTAATTAAAACTGAAATACTGCCAACCTACTGTAGGAAGAGCCTGGCGTTATAATCTATGAGAACCGGATGTCCTCCTCTTATGAAGTCGCTATTGGACCCAACGGAGCCATCACCAGGGACAGTCAATACGAGTATGTATTTGTATTTGTTTAACTCTGAGTGGTCACAACATGAAAGATTACTACTTATATTGCTACTTCAGTGAATTCTCTGCTAAGGCCTCAAGTATTCAGACAAATCAGTGGTATCAATAGAATACAGTGAATTTACCTTGAATTCTCTACAATGGATTGGGGTTAGTTCATTGTGATATGACAAACTGCACTTTAATACTTTTCTGACCAACTGACTAACATAGACCTTATATCTTGTCTCAGGCTGCTTTTCCAGTGTAGATACAGTGGCACCTCAATTGAGGCTCTAGTTATCGAGGTTGGCCTGCTTCCTCCACCACACCCAGTGGCAGCTCCAGGACCCCTGCGCGTGGAGCTAGTGCTGGCCAATGGAGAGTGTTCAGTCAAGGGATGTGTGGAAGGTTAGTGTAAAGGACATATGGTGTGCTGTCAGTCTCATTCGGCAGTGACTGTGCACTAACCACATTTTTTTTGCTTGAGCAGAGGAGGTGGCCTACAACTCCTTTTACGTTGACTCTGACTACCCCGTCACAAAGGTTCTCAGAGACCCTGTGTATGCGGAAGTCCATATACTGGAGAGGACTGATCCCAACATTATATTGACTCTTGGAAAATGCTGGGCAACTTCTGCTCCCTACCCTCAAAGTCTCCCTCAATGGGACTTGCTGATTGATGGGTAAGAGTGAATGTTGATTTTACTTGGAAATAGGCATTTATAAAACTTTCTACGAGGCTATACTCAAAACCTATTCTTCACTCTCTTTGCCATAGCTGCCCATACCGTGATGACCGCTATCTGACCGCTCTGGTCCCTGTGGACGCTTCATCAGGACTCATGTACCCAACCCACCACAGGCGTTTTGTTTTCAAGATGTTCACGTTTGTATCCGGTGGAGGTGTAAAGCAACAGGCTTTGATTCCTCTCAACGAAAAGGTATAGGATTTAACTATCTAAGACAAAGGCTTTTGTCAAGTTTAGTTTTTATATTTGTTTTTTGTAATATAACCTTCATAATTACGAATAATATATAACATTTTTTGACCAGGTGTATATCCACTGTGAAGCAGCCGTGTGTCAACCGTCTGTCGGAGACAATTGTGAACCTAGGTGCTTCAGAAACAGTAAGTATAACAATATTCACTGTGAAAATATTTAAACCACCAATTTTATTTTTCTCTGAAGTCTGTAAAATGAACACAAGGCAAGGCAAGTGTATTCATATAGCACATTTCAACACAAGGCAGTTCAAAGTGCTTTACAAAAATGAAAAATATTAATAGCATTAAGAAATAGTGCAGTGGAAACACATTATAAATGGCATTTAAAAACAGTCATTAAAAAGCAAAGAGATTAAAATAAACATAAAACAAGCTAATATAGAATAAGGTATGAAATACATGCATACAAGTTACAGTGCATTGTAAGATATGAATAGTTCATTTAAAAGCAGCAGCAAAATGAAAGTATTTTATCCTGGATTCAAATAGTAAGAGTTGCAGGGGACCTTCAATTTTCTGGGAGTTTATTCCAGATTTTTGGAGCACAATAACTAACGATGCTTCTCCATGTTTAGTTCTGAGTCTGGAGACAAAAAGCAGACTCGTGACAAACAGTAAACTATAGAGTCATGTTTTGTAAGTGTTAGACAGGAAAAGTATGGCAGATGATTTGAAAATCAAAAAAGCTGAACATGTTTTCACCAAAGGCGTATAATGTCTGATGTCATCTTGTGTCTTTTTCAACCTCAAGTCTGACAGCAACTGACCATTGGAATGTATTTTACACAGGGAGAGACGTTTCTGTCCAGAAAGGCTCCAGAGAAGAGACCACTGTGGTTAGCAGTAAGGAGCTGGTCTTCATTCAGTAACAACATTACATTATCATGAAATCTCTTTTTCTGATGTTTTGTGAAAAGTGATTGAGTTTCAAATAAATACCCAATTGCTGAACTATGTTTTCGAGTCTTGTGAATTAACATTGACAATGGCATATTATGACTATATGACTCAACACACATGACTTCAAATCAATGCAAACTTTATTTCCATAGCACATCTCAAAACATCTGCAGTTTGACCAAAACAGGCACAGATTACCAATGTATACAAAGCAAAAAAACAAACAAACTATAAAATAATCATTGTAAAACAATGCAGGACAACAGAAAAAAAGTTAAGGTGTGAAGCTTAACTCTATCAAAAGATACATATTCTTAAACCTGATAAGGTTTAATTGATTTTTGTTTTAGAGTGTTGGATTTTAGAAATATTTATGCCTGTTGTTTAAACTCATTGCTTAAAGGCAATACATCATGGTTTCCCATAAATGTACATTTACAATTATGGATATGGTATTTGGCTTTTGCAATAGTTGATTAATCAACTACATTAGTGTTTTGTATACCATTATCAGAGACCAAACAACAAATTGCTCAAAAGCATTAGAAGCCTTTATTAAAGAGACTTAGTGCCGCCCACAGGAGATGCGAGCGGAGGACTGAGGAGGGGAACCGAGGAGAGAGGAGGGGAAGCAGCAGGCGTTTAGAGAAATGAGAACTCCTCTCCTCTGAGCGGTCATTTTAAAGAGACGTCCGTTAATGATGACAGGAGGCACAGCTGGACAGATGTGTTCATGACCACTTATATATTTAATTTTAATTCATTCACAGTGCGGTATGAGACAATAACAGGCTACAGATGCGGACATATACATACACACACACACACATATATATTTATATATATATTTATATAAATATATACAATTTCAGATTCAAACAAGTATGAGAGCACTCACTATCAGAGACTGGATATATCCCCCCCCCCCATATCTGCTTTCTTTTCGTACAGGATGGTACAGTGCTATGCTAATGGAGATAATAAAGGAAGTGTTAAGCTCCTTTCCTTATCGTCCAGAGTAATAAATAGCTCTTATCCTCGCTCCCACTTAGGTTATTTCGCTCAGTTAGGAATCAAAAAAGACTGAACCGCAGCCTTAGTGCAAGTGATCAGTCACTTTAGACACGATAGCAAAACAGTTGGTTTGCACGTATTGTAGTGGTTTAGTGACCAATTACTATATACTGTAGCTATGTGTAATGACATTAACTTTGCCCTGATGTGATAGCACTGGTGTTTTTGTTTTGCAGTGGGGGGCTGAGTAATCTGCTCTACCTGTGTTGTTTGCCTGACCATGTGCCCGCTGTCTTAGATGAACCTCGCGTCGTGCTCCTCAGAGTGTATGGTGCCATCTTACAGGTTGGTCTGTTCAGCTGTTGAATTACTATGGGGGAAAATATAATTTCTGTAGTCATTCTTCTATCATTATTGTCTGCCTGGAAGTATAAACTAAAGCAAAAATGTAATCAAACTGTCTTTCTGTCTGTCTTTCTGTGACACAGGGAGTGGACTCCCTGGTGTTGGAAAGTGTGATGTTCGCCATCCTGGCAGAACGAACTTTAGGACCAAAACTGTACGGCATCTTTCCCCAGGGACGCTTAGAACAGTACTTTCCGGTATAATACATGCACACACACATACACCGTACACACATTCATACATAACAAAATAATGTTTCAAAGTATTGAACATTCAGGGTTAAAATCTAATCTGAATTTCTATTGAACACATTCCTTCTACTTTGTAAGTAGTATGTAAATCCATAAAATACTTGAGCTAGGTCCTTAGGTAGAGGAAGCATTGGTATCATCTTTATTTTATCTGTTTTTCCAGAATACCCGCATGCGCACAGATCAACTTCCCGATCCTGCCACATATGTTTCCATGAAATGATCATGCCCTTTAACAAAGAGCCCAGTTGGCTATTTGGGACCATTGACAAGTAGGACATCTTGGTATCTCCTTCTTTGACTAGAACTATATGCTTTGGATGTAATGTCTTCTTTTTCCTTTAGATACATGGATCAAGTGATGAAGCTTAATTTTGTACGTGAAGCACATGAAATTAGACCTGCCTGCTGAGCTGGAGAATCTACCGTGAGTTGGGGCACAGGAATCAAATATACATAAATATATAAGCAATATTGTGATGCATTAAGTGACTATCATAAAGTATAAATAAAGCCTCAAAGTTAGGGTAAGTAGAGATGAGGAAAAACAGTGTGAGTGAGGGAGCAGAATCTTTTTCAAAATGTTTGAAAAATAATCACAATTCAAATAAAATACAATATACACACAAAAAACAACTATTGACAATTATAACTCTTGCAGATACCCATGTACGAGGACAAAAACGTCAATACAATAAATATCATATTTTTCTCTTTTTTTAAATCACAACTTAGCAGGAGGGTCATTGAACATGCAAACCCTCGTGATTCAGAGTTTTACAGTCAGTGTCAAACACTGATTTTGAGGGGAAGTAGAAACACGATGATGCAATCTCTATTGCTTAAGCCAAGTGTCAACAAGATGTTGTTTGGTCAGAGCCATCGCATATCATTTGCTGTAATTTACCCACTGTAAATACTGTTCAACTGCTCACACTGTATCTAGCACATGCATACCCTTATTCCATTGTCTTCACTCAATATTCTGTGCAATGACAATAATGTTGAACCTAATCTGATGTCATGTAGATTTTAGGAAGTTGGTCAGGTTAGCCTGTTACTACTGACGTTTAAGGACCAGCACCAAAAACCTAAAGACACAGTGTTTATTGTCACTGTTTGTCTATGAGCACATGTTTTATCTTTTAGATATGTAGCAGTCTCCCACTGACGTCTGACACAGTTATGAGACTTCAAGTCGCCATCTTCTTGGCTTGATGTAAACAATTAAATTAATCAGGAAAAACGCACCACTCCACCCCCCTCAGTATATTTCATATTGTAGTTACATCATCCTAAGCTTCTGGAGAATTGAATAACACTTTTGCCACTTATGAAAAAGTAGCTTTCTCAAAAATACACATAATGATCATATTGGGTGATCTTATGGGTTACATACATAGATGCTTTGAATTAATCAGTATATTTTTGCCTAGTATACCTCTTAACAGTACAATTTGAATGAATAATTATTAAAAATAAAATACCGTCATTGCTGCAGTGTAGTAACTGTAGTCTCTAGGACATCATGTTTTATATTCGCCTCATTTCTTTAAAATTGGTATTAATGATTAGCAAGTAACACCGCCTGCAAATGCATCACTGACAAGCTCCTTCTTTCCTCTCCCTTTCTCTGTCATCATCTACTCTGTTCATCTGACTCTTTCCTCCACCACAGTGCGCTGCTGGCCGAGACTAAATCACTGGTGGTATTCTGCCACAATGACGTCACGGAAGGTAAACTTTAATCCTCAAACTTCTAACTTTGGCTAATGGATCAACACACTCTCACTCCCTAAGCGTCCGGGAGCGACGCTTGGTCAGGGTCCCGTGGCGTCCAGTTGTGATGCGCCGAGGCTCCTTCAGCTTCATAAACGGACGCAAAGAGCTTTCAACTGATTGCAATGTATTCCCATTGGCGTCGTTATTTGACGCTTAGGGAAGCACGGCATTCGTTTGTGTCGGAGGCTGTTAAAGGCAATGTGAGCGTCCATTCCCATTGGATAACGGAGAATTGTACACCCGGAAGTAAGTATTCCCCTTACTGTCGATTGATTTGACAGTGAGATCTCCACTACTCATCAACTCAAAAACACCAGATTATCCTTGTTAATTAAACGACATTGATAGGTTTTAGTGTGTGGACAATGCTTTTGTCACGTTTTCCCCTTCAATTCTGAGAAACAAGTCGTTTTCTATGAGTTTTGGATGGCCGAAGACATTACATTACCCACAATCCTCTGTAGCAACCATAGACTGTATAAAACAATTAAATAATACATTATTCCGAGTGTGCTTGCTTTTCTCTTTGAAAGTCATCACATAACGGCATTGTAATACACGTTTCGGCTGCATTAAATATGACATATCTGCCGTAGTTAACTCTGGCCTGATGACAAGACTTCTAGACAAACAGGAACTGCCGCCAAAACTGAAAACTTGACGTGGATCTTAAATATATAAGCAATTAAACAACATCTTACATTTCTTTTCACACAATACGTCTCCTTGCAGTATCAACACTAATTCGGCTGACTTTTATATTTGATCCAATTGGTAGATAGGCTGCCATAACGGTGCACAGCTGATAGAAAGGGACACCTACTGGTTAAAGCACATTATTGCATTTTATAATTGTATTATTAGATATTAATAGGAGGATGTGCAAAACAGACAAACTAATAAGGCTTTATTTAAACATTAAAGAATACTTTAGGTTAAGGTCTTCTTTTGAATAAGAAAAAAGCTTTGGGGGTATAGAAGATGAATATGGAGGGATGAAACCCTCTTTGATGGTCACACATGCAGAGCACACAGCACACACAGTGAAATGTGTATCTACAGATAAATATTAAGCCTGACAAAGTACTTAACGTCTAATATATTGCTTTCCTGCAATGTTAACTATGTTTAAGCACTTATTTTAACTGATATTATACATATGTATTATACTCTTATAAGATGTATGTAGATAGTATAAGAAATGTGCAGAATATGACAATGTAATGTCATACACACATATTGGTAGATGTCTTGTAATGCACTGTTGAGGAACCTGCAACTCAAGTTTTGCATTCATTGCATAACTACACCGTAGTAGTGTATAATATGAATAAACCTTAGAAAATCTTGAAATCTTGAAAGGGATGTGCAAAATAGTCATTATATACAGTCTTTAATGTCAATAAACCTTAGAAAATCTTGAAATATTGAATGGGATGTGCAAAATAGTCATTATATACAGTCTTTAATTAACTATTAGTAGAGAATAACGACGAGTAAAGAATATACTTTATAGGGATCCTAATAATATCTAATAATAAAATTATAAAATGCAATAACGTGCTTTAACCAGTAGGTGTCCCTTTCTATCAGCTGTGCACCGTTATGGCGTAAATACAGCCTATCTACCAATTGGATCAAATATAAAAGTCAGCCGAATTAGTGTTGATACTGCAAGGAGACGTATTGTGTGAAAAGAAATGTAAGATGTTTAATTGCTTATATATTTAAGATCCACGTCAAGTTTTCAGTTTTGGCGGCAGTTCCTGTTTGTCTAGAAGTCTTGTCATCAGGGCTCTATAAATAGAGTTAACTACGGCAGATATGTCATATTTAATGCAGCCGAAACGTGTATTACAATGCCGTTATGTGATGACTTTCAAAGAGAAAAGCAAGCACACTCGGAATAATGTATTATTTAATTGTTTTATACAGTCTATGGTTGCTACAGAGGATTGTGGGTAATGTAATGTCTTCGGCCATCCAAAACTCATAGAAAACGACTTGTTTCTCAGAATTGAAGGGGAAAACGTGACAAAAGCATTGTACACACACTAAAACCTATCAATGTCGTTTAATTAACAAGGATAATCTGGTGTTTTTGAGTTGATAAGTAGTGGAGATATCACTGTCAAATCAATCGACAGTAAGGGGAATACTTACTTCCGGGTGTACAATTCTCCGTTATCCAATGGGAATGGACGCTCACATTGCCTTTAACAGCCTCCGACACAAACGAATGCCGTGCTTCCCTAAGCGTCAAATAACGACGCCAATGGGAATACATTGCAATCAGTTGAAAGCTCTTTGCGTCCGTTTATGAAGTTGAAGGAGCCTCGGCGCGTCACAACTGGACGCCACGGGACCCTGACCAAGCGTCGCTCCTGGACGCTTAGGGAGTGAGAGTGTGTTGAATGGATCAACCCTTAGCAGTTATAACCATAAGTCAAAGAAAGGCTTGGCTGTAGTTATTAATAGGAACTGCTCAAATTCATATGCATCTTCCTGTATTTGAAGATGAAGAATACAAAGTGGCGGTCGGGGAATAGCTTTTTAATAAATGGGAATGTCTCTTAGAATAACTACTTAATCTGAACTGACATATTAAAGATATGTGGAAAACTGCTAAATATACACATATATTTTTTCATCAATATATAATAGGTCTCAGATATATACAAAACATGTCTCTGAAGTGTTTGGCTCCAAATACCAAGCAGATCATGCATTGTAGCATCCCATAATCCCCTCTGTTTCAGCCCTGTTTCAAAAGTGCTGATTCGCTGTCTGTTACTTTAGATGAAAATAAGGAGCCACTCCCCACGCCCCTACTGAGATGTTTGGTTAAAAAGAGGGGGGGGGGGGGGGGGGGTAACCTTGGTTGGTGATTGGCTAATGGTTACTCAAGCCAAAAAATCGTTATGACATCATAAAGTGGCCAACATCTGATCAGCTCATTTTCAGACAGGTTTTTATATAAATGGATCAGGACAAAAAGAGAGCGAATCTTTTTTCCTGAAACTTTCAGAATCTCTTTACACAGAGGGGACACATGTTTATGTATAAAATACATGAACAAGTGGATTTTGCATAATAGGTGACCTTTAAGTCCAATCCTTCAGAGTCCCACAAAAGAGACTCACAGTGTTGATGTTTAAACCAAAAATATAAGGCCATCTCTTTTGGGAAATGGATACGCTCTGATCATACAGTGCCATCTAGTGGTTAAAATTGCTAATGCAAATGTTGTATTCAGATGGCAATCATTGATTTAAAAATCAGGCTAGATGAATAACCAGGCTACTGCTATCGGTACAACATAGGAGCTCAGTTTCAGTGCAGTTAAATAAATGAACAGAAACGATAACCATCAAAACAATGCACACAAAAAGGAAACATACATTTGAAAGCTCATTGAGGC